CGCATTGAAAAAAAAATTTGTCTCTAACATATCACATCCTTGACGCGCATTCTTTTCCTAATGACTCGCTTATTGAACACAATAGTACAAAAAATTGTTGACTTTCTACGTGGTCACATCACTGATTCACTGATATGAACCCAATAGATGCTAGGTTTTTCATAGACTGCTCTCCATTTTAAATTCGTCAGCCTAGTCATTTTAACCAGTATTCGCCCATTGTGTCAAAATTTTACAGTTCTCTTGTCATTTCTTTTGTATATCTTTCCTATCAAACTGTTTGATAAGTCTGCGATTATTTCTTATCGTTCAAGCTTTTATAAGTACTTTTCTTCCTCTTCTGTCATAGCATAAGGTAAACGATACACTTGTGAGGACGTCTTCAAGGACACTTCTTGAAGATTTGAGTTTCTTTGAGTTTCTAGACTGGTGTCTGTCGCGTATTCGATAGACTGAACACCCTCCCCCTACCCTCAAAAATGAAAGGGTGCGAACAGCATTTAACTAACCTTTGATTCAACTGGCTTGGCAGTCGGAAGGCGGGGCTTTGTGACCTAATCAAGGCCGCTCGCGCCCGCGAAGCAGTCTTCGTCTCTCCCGCGCGCGTGCTCTCTGATCATTACTTAGCCTTAATTAAGTCACGAAGCTCCGCCATCCAGCCGCCATGCCATTTGAATCAAAGGGTTCACGTTTACGAGTTTAATTGTAAGATGAAAAGGAAGGAAACTCAAGAGCTGCCCACTCAAAGCTAATCACAAATTCGTGGAGTACCATATACTTTCGACAAACTCCGCCTACGCGCTAGTTCCCCGCCAAAACTATGCGGAGGCGGAGCTTAGCGCATAGAGTGTAATTGCACATCACTCTAACTTTAGTATATAATGCATTGCATCGCATAAAGCAGCTTAGTCAAGCGCATCCAATACACCTACAAAAATGCAGTGCAATAAGAATGGAGCATGTTTTTTGCACAACGTATCCCACAAAACGAGTTTCTGCGCAAAGTTGCAATTGACCGTCTTAGCAAGCCTAAATGTGATTATGGTAGAGAGTCTTTGTGGCTGGCCCTGAAGTTTTAGGCAAGTTCGATTCTTTACCGTATTGAGGGCGGTAAAGACTTAGAAATCAAGTACTCCTAACACCCGGAGTTTTTGATAGATATGAATCAGTCCGGCGCCATGGAGCCATTCATTTCCATACGTTTTCGGCAAGCTAAGGGCTGGTCTGTGCGTTCTGAGTTATCCTTGCATTTTGATTCTCTTACGAGCAGTAAACATATTTATTGCTCTATAGTTTGCTAATATGAACATTTACAGCTCGCAAAGAACGTCTAAAGCATTCTAATGAGATCATGACCGCGTTCAAATACTTTTTTGTGGCTTTTTAAAACGTTGACGACCGTATACATCCGCGCGTATGCACGCCCTAACTCCCATTTAGCATTTTCGTGCATCCGCGCATATGCACGCTAGTTTTCTAGGTGTAAACGAAAAGTTTTGAGGTAACTTCTATGCAGTAATACTACTGGTGGCCTGATAGTCTTACAGAACACAGGGCATCGCGGCAGCTGTTCAGAAGTTTGGGCCGCAAAATTGGGTAATCAGTCGGTTTTTGGTAAGGTAAACACATGCTAATTACGTTTTTCCGAAAAGGTTAAAACTCTGTAAAGCTGTTTTGAAAGCAAAAAACGATGAATCAAGCAAAAAATACCTGGTATTACAGCGTTTTTTTTATGAAAAGAAATTCCTCCAATATAGCGATTGCGCGGTTATTGGGAGGGAAAATCCACGCAAAAACCTTGATTTGTGTAATTCTGGTAAGGCTCTGTGATATACATGTATCTCTGAACAAAGTTCACATGTTTTATGAATAAGCGTCAAAAGGACTCCCACATAATATTTTCGTGCATCCGCGCGTATGCACGGGCCAAATGCGCGAAGGACGTTGGTGGGAGTTTCGCCCAAAATGGCGCGGTCATCAACGTGTTAAAAACGTATGGTTCAGAAAATATTGAATCGCTCAAAAGAACTAGATAAAAAGCAATCACATGTGAAGATTATACACACAACAAAATTATTGAGTTAGTCTTCCCAATTATTTCTATGGAAAGTGCTGACCCTATCAGCTTAAAAATAGATTCGGAGTCGTTTACGAAGATCATTTTGTCGTGATTATTCTGATAATAAAGAAGAAAGCAACGAAGTCCAACACGCTGCGCAGAACTCAGGTTCAGTATTATTTGCGTAGAGTGTATGCAAAATGGAGAACGCAGAGATAGAAACGCAAATAGGCAGAGAGGCAGAGTCAGTTGGCATAACGGGGTCTCTACTTAGGAAAAATATTTATTTTTGTTAAAATTTGAAATACATATTATTCTTACCGAATTTGGAGGGGGGGGGGAGACATTGATGACTGCATTCTTCTTTTCTTTTTAATTATAATAGAAAAAGGAAAAAAGAAGACTATCTTGTTTAAAAGTTCCCTTACCACTCTTTCTTGTTTAAAAGTTCTCTTACCACTCTTTACCCCTCAGACCTCCTATTCTAAAAGTTGGTAAGCTCGTCACTGCTTTTATGTCGTGTTTCCTTACCCAGATCCCAGATTGTCCTTGACTAATACTTCAGTCATACAATGCTTTTTCCGGAAATTTCAAAACAAAGATCCCCGTATGCAGAAACGTTAGATGAAACAGCCATCTGGTCGCACTGTCTTTTTCCCAATCTGCAGAGCTCTAGAATAACCGCTATCACTTTTGCACAAGCAAAACAAAAAAATTTGTTGAAGGCCAAGTAATATCTGTCTACGCAGAGAAGCGAACAAAGAACTTACCGAAAGCGATGAAATATTGCTGTTGTGGATTTACAAAAGAACACAAACTGGTTTCGATAATGATAGAAGGGATTTGGACACTGATTGATGAAACAGCACGTGAAATCTTTCAAGAGTCACATCTTGTGCCAAAAACGTTGAAAACGGCTGATTTTTCGATGTGCGGTTGGTTTGACTCATGATTGCACTTGGGCAGTATGGCCTTGACGAAAAACACTTTATCAAATGACGCTATTCCTCGAGCTCATGCATCATATCATCTATAGTATACTTTTTAGAGTTAATGTGTCCTTGCAGTAGTGTAAAATTCACAGTACGAGGAAATTGAAGGTGACTGGCTTGTCAAGAAAACTACCATAACAGTTTTATTCCGCGAAAAAGTGATCGACAGAAATAGTAATTCTTGACAAAAAGCGAACTACGTAGTCAATTCAAGGTCATGATAAAGTTGGCTGCGATCCCCGCTGCACTCAAACCTGATGCTTTCGAGTCGCGAGTTTATGATCCTCACAACTCAAAGGCGTCATAACTTGTTCGAAGGTCATTGATGCGCTTTTGAGTAAAAATGTCCATACTATACAGCTTAACTTTCCTTTAAACGCTGCGCTGCCTATTCTGCTTGAGAAGTTTGAGTACCAGTTCAAAAAGAGACGTCTTTCAGAGATGAATATTTTTAATATGCATCGCAATTATCTATTGATTTTGACCCATGAGGTTGATCTCAAAAGTTTTGCCAATGCAGCAAAAATTTCCTCCTTGCCCTTAACTTAGCACAAAATTTGAAAAAGAGGAAATTTTACTGTGCGAGCTGTGATCCGTATGTGCGCGTGCCAAGCAGTGGCACCTTGCCAGCCAAAGACTGCGGCGATTGCGTAGAGCACAGACATGGTCCTGCCACGATATAGCCAGTAGCTCAGGCTTGACTGAAAACCCCCGCGATGCGGACGCGCAACTTATCAAGGATCGATTCAAATTGACAAAATTCATCCACACGAAAAAAATGTCTAGACGCTCCATCAATCACACATAGGTGCCTTGGGTACATCCGAAGTGATCCATCAATCTTGATGCATGCCAGGAGGACGATCATATGACGCTTTTGAGAGAACTGTAGCAATATGCGTCCTCGGACAGAGTTCACGCGATTTGATCGTCGCGATTCAGTCGCCGCGATTCCCATTCATTTTCATTTTATATTTGAGAATTTCGAGCTGGAAAACTATCACAACCGAAATGCAGGAAGATCGGCATGCAATGAACTCGTAACATTTGTCTTGTCGCGATTGAATCGCGACGATCAAATCGCGTGAACTCTGCACGAGGCTTGAGAGCTCAGAGCTTAGTCTATATTTGGTTGGATAATCATCAAATACGCGACGCAGCCGCGTTCACATGCAAAATACAGTTCAAGATAACACCCGGTTTAAAGTAAGCAATCATTTCTACATCTAGCAATATGGGACATTTGGTGCGATTGTGTGATTTCAAAGTATAAATGTAATCATTATAATATTTGATGGCTCCAGCTGACATGTGATACCCCACCTTAACTTTTGTAGAATTTATTCGCAGTAGTAACTCGCATTTTCTGCATTACGAATCCATCAAAATTACATTTCGTACTAGACTTTCATATTAATTTTGAAAAAGGTGGAAACTCTATCCTAGGCTGTCCTGCACTCTTCGTAATAAAGTATTCATAGAGTACCTGTTTGCCAAGGAATCAAATTTTACTGAAGAAGAATTTGCACTTATAGTCAGCCTATCCTAACAACGATTAATTATTCTCTTCTCTCTGACTGTCGTCGACAAGACCGGTATAGTTGAGCGGAAAAATTGTTGATTTATTGCCAGCTACCAGCTGTATTTTGTCTGCCTAAATGCCATACGTTGTCTTTATGTCTTCTATCTCATCTAAAATGCAGGCTATCGATTTAAGGCTGCTCCTGTAAATGATGAGGCTTTTTATTCTGAGTAGAAAAAACCGCCTTTTCCGGAAATGTCTCCACATCTAATTGAATTGTGGCCTTAATTTCATGCGATATGGAACATTTTACGCGCCATGTTCTTCGAACTTAGCCAACTCGTCGTGTCGATGCTCCAGTTGTCCGCATGGTGGTCACACAACCGTATACACAGGTTCTGCTAATGCACTACTTTTTTCATGTTGCAGATCACGTTTAGTGTGAAATGATGACGCTGGACGGGAACGAACGGCGTCGTATTACGCCGGACACACCGACGTCGCCTACACACGGATCCGTCGTGCTACGTGGTGCTCGTCATTTTAATCTTAGAGGTAGGTTAGGGCTGGTTAATCCCCTTGTTCAGGTGGATCTACTTACCCGGCTACTAGTGCACCCTACTCTCCACGACTCTCCCACCCCCTCCTCTTCCATTCGCGCCAGCTCATCCATCACCACCACCATACCACCACTGCCACCACTACCATCACCGCTATCATCGTCAGCCCTACCAACTGCACCAGCACTACCATCACTACTACCGTACTACTTCATTGGCTTCACACCACCACCACTACTACTTCAACAACTAGCACCATCGCCGCAGCATCCTCACCATTACTATCACTACCAACCACACAAACCACACCATCCCCACCAACCTCACCAGCACTACCATCATCATCAACCATACCAACCATACCAACCACACCAACCACACAAACCACACCAACCACACCAACCATACCAACTCTACCAACCGCACCACCACTACTATCAGCGCCAACACCATTACAACTACACCACCCCTATCATCCCCACCCATCATCAATAACATTACCAACCACACCGCCACTGCTACTTTCGCCGCACCAATACCATCACCACTTTCCTCACTGAACTCACTGCTACCTCACCACTAGCAACCACCACCACCATCATTCTTTTTAGGACCTCGTATTTTAGATGTTTTCAGATAACTCTCCCGCAAATCGTCATTCATATCATGGAGTCACATCACCATTGATGTCGCCTAGAGAACGTCCCGAACAAATGAAACGCTTCTCGCAACAGCTTCTACAGTATCCACTACAGTATGGTGGCGATCCATTCTGCGGGAACAATCACATGAAACTTACAAGGAATCAGGTGTGTTATGCTATGATGTTAAGTGGTACTTTACTTTACACATAAGGGCCCATAGGTGTTGTACTTGTGCAAAAGGTGAATGGGAACTGGTTCTTGTATGGAGTTAGCTCATTTATGTTATTGGTAGCAAGTTCACGATCGAATGCTTAAGAATCGAGTTTTATGATGCTTGACTGTATGCTTACAAGGGTTTTTTATCTTCAACCATACTCTGCTGACTATAGCATAGATAGTCAAGGTCTAGACTATGCACGATCTTTGAGTTTTCGTCGACATCTTGTTCACGGAAGGATAAACAAATATTAGCTCATGATGGGCTAGGGAAGTCCTGAGATTAGTACGTTTCGCAAATAAAGCGAAAACTGGTCACAATGGCGGGAAGGGACGGAATTGTCTTCATCTTACTGCCGGTTGGCGATTGGTCTTTTTAATTACAAGTTAGCTTCACATTTAATTTTTGACCCACCCATTTTTCACTCAATTCTTTGTATTCATCATTTCCGTCCTTCTTCTCTCTCCCAATTCCCTTTCTGCTTTATTAGTCCTCATTTACAGAAGCCATCTCAAATTATTAATCTCAATTTAGTGAGAGTCAATTTCGGAGACCAGTTCTCGCTTGCATCAGCTGCAATGGTGTCATCGTGCTCTCCAAAGTAGCAATCTATTGCGTATACGTATTCTCTACGTAACATATTGATTCTTACTACAGAGAAAGGAGCTCCGAAAAAATCCTAAATTTCAATCAGCTCCATTCCCCTCTCATTCTTTGTTCCAGGATTTGAATAATGATGGGCCATCCTATTTCGCTCCCATCCCAGCCCTCAATTAGTGAGATGACCCATTTTCATGCACTTTGTTGAATAGGGCGCTCTGCGAAATTGGAAATTCGACGAATTTCGTGCAAAACGTCAAGTGTAGATTTATCTTTTTGTTTCTGTTACATTCTAATGGGATGTATGTTTGGCTTTAGAAAAGAAAAGCAAAACAAAGCCGAGCTTTCGATATGTTTGTTTAGTGAGCAGCAGCGCTTATGTTTTGCGTAGTAAATTGCTATGTAAGCGCTTCTTGTTGACCTTGAAAAGACGCCCGTGGATCCAAGAAGTTAAGGGCCCTTCGAACGGAATGCAAGAAGACTAGACCTTGGCCAATAACACAAGACGATTATGCTTATTGGCCGCTATTAGAGCTGAACGATGTTGGACAACCGCTGTGCCGCTTGATTTATCATGTTCCGTATGGAAATGAGATAGACTAATAGACTTTTCCCTATCGAAGAACGATTTCTTTTTGTCTGAAATGCACTTTCATATCCAGCCAGCCATATGCTTCTTTACGTGGACCGTATACATCCCCTTAACTGTATTTTTTTTCACTAAAAGATAGCCGCTTTCACTGGAGAATTCTTTATCTCTTCAGCATAAGTGATTTCCAAATTTGTTCTCATCGTTTGTTTCATAGAAATTCTGAACAAAGTCGATTTGTTGAACACTTGCGAATTTCAAGTGCTAGATAGTCCTCTGCAAAGCTTTAGATTTTGAGTCTGTCTCGTTTTTTACGATGTCAGAGGGATCAACATTTGTTTAGCTCCAAAAAGCCATTGCCTTAAAAGGTGAAACTATCGACGTCCGTTCCTCGCGCTTCCGTTTTCCATCCTAGCTTGCAACAAAGGTCCTTTTGGTCATTACTTTGTAGGTTTAGTCGTACTTATCTCAATTATTTTCCAGTTTTTTCCTAATTTCTAGATTTCTAGATAGAAATTAGGCGTAAAAGTTTCCCAGTTGCCGTAAATTTGGCATATTTTCTCGGACCAGTGTCCCCTTACACCATTATTGATGTTAACTCCCACTAGCTAATGGCCGAGTGTAGTGACACTCAGGCTCTGACAGAGGTACGAGTTTACACCTTCCTAGCTTAGATGATTGATGTTGTTTTGGCATTGTGTCCCAATGAGAAGAGCAGCGGCGCAGTAACGCTTACGAGAAATTTCTAAAATCCAAAAGCAAACGTCCTTGATCAAATCATCGTCATGGCGTCATTTTTATCATCGTGACTATTCTGTCACTTTCCCCAAAGAAATAAAAATTTGTTAGTAGACAAATGATTATGTGGAGACATTCATCTTTAGTTTTCTCTCTTCTTGAAAAGTTGTCAAGCGACTTCTGCTGGGGAAAAGTTGAAGAGAATGGAAGAAAAAAGTCCTCTTCAAATGACGTGCTTGTACTTTTAGCGAACAAGTTGGACAACTTCATAAATGAACGAAATGAAGGGGATGAGGAAGGGGAAATGGGACATGGAAGTAGGAAGGGTGATTTACCATAAAATGCAAAATCTGGATTTGTGATATCATGTGACTTCTTGCGGCGAAAACTAGTCCCCGTGGTTTTAGTTTAGTAATTAACCAAGATACCTGGCATGAAGAAATAAGATGATTAGTTAAAGGACCAGTTCCTATCACTTCTATAAGATAGTATAGAATTAAGACGATGCCGAACAGGTCCTAAGATTACTATCAGGCCCAGCCTAGTTCTCAGAAGTAATATGATTTAGTAGAAGCAAAAAGTCTAATAACCAAGAAACATTAGTCAAGATAATGTGAACGAAGCAGCCTTGGCCCAGATAGAGGAACATTTGGGAAAATTTTCTTTCCTAATGTATCGGCCCCATTAGTAAGGATCTCATTTCAAAGTTGTACCAAAAGTATGTTTTAAGTATTCCGTCATTACAGAAAATGGTGGCAGGTGACTCCACTCCATCAAATCTACGTTGAAAGACCAGTTCTGGCCACTTTTACCAGCTTCAAACAAGAACGATTTACACTAGTTTAGCTTCGTGCACTTTATGTGTAACAATCTAATGGAAACTTCTACTTCATCATCATTCAACCTGTTATAGTATCACCATTTAGAAATAGTGGATCATAATATGTATGACAGCGAGAGTGTGCTCTGGAACAAAGTAAAGGAAAATCGAATTTCTGTTTGCTGCGGTCTTGCAGATATCGCATTTGCGCTTGAGGACAAGCTTTTTTGATTCTGAATTTGATCGTACTTGAGTTCCAAAATCCGAAATTTGTCAAGAGCTCAGCCACAAATGCTGATCTGCTTTGTTTTTTCATTAACTTGGCCCAAGGAATCTCAATCTGATAAAAGCTAACAAATTGGTAGACCTTATTTAGCTGAATCTTTTGTGAAAAGGCACTCCCGGCATCTTGATACCCTAAGACTTGTTCATAATTTTTATAATTTTCAGAATTTAGAGCATTTGAGAACAATGTTATACCATTCAGCTCATTCAATCCAGTCACCAAATACTAGGAATCAAAATTGAATTAGTGCGTACTCTACGTAAAAACTGCCATTGATGTCAATACAAGACGAGGTTCCCTTTTTCGTAAGAGACTAATGGGAGGAGGAAAACGAACAATAAAGCGTGCTTGCTAGCTGAAAGCATTACGGTGTCATATTCCCAAAGCCGTTGCCATGCATCCATCCATTGTCGCTTCCACCTTCATAGCAGAACATTCCAGAAAAATCCATAAACCTTCTTCTCTCTGTTTCTGAAAACTTTTCTACCAGCCGCATCAATTCCGTTCAAGTTTCGGGCATACGCGTAGGCAGCATGGATTACTCTAGGATTGGTATACTGTAACCGCGTCCCAGAGCAACCTAGAACAATTTTTGATCTTGTTATCTGTCTATGGGGTTCCCTGCCCGTTACAAAACTCCCTGCAGTTTGTGAGCGATTTTGACGTATCGCGCCAGCGGGATTACTGTAGGCGCCATCTTTGATCTACCGCAATCGTACTACTGTAGTACTCATTTTACCGGATGGGGTCAACACAACGCTTTGAAGGTCATCAGCAATGCACGACAGCACGACACACGCATATAATAGACTAGTTCTCCATCACCCCCGTTGCTTGCTACCCCCCCCCCCTCCCCCGTTCCCCGCTCACGCTCTCTCCCCCTCTCTTCTACAGCGCATCGATTCTGCGTCAGGGTGCAGTTCGTTCGTACTGGTCGCGCGCGGCGTCCTCATCATCATGTCTGGCCGTTTCTGTTGTGAAATCGTTGCTAATTTTGCTGTTTTCGATAGTTTTATCTGTCTGCTTCAAGCATAGTGCGAAAACTCGTCCAAATGGCTGGCAATTTGCTGAGCAATTAGTCGAGGATGGGACCGGGTGGTGATAAGCGTTCGCGACGTTGTGTGAAGCTGTGACCAGCTGTCCCCATCAGTCCGAGTCTGGCTGTGTGCATCGATCGCTTTTGTCAGAGAATTTCGAAAGCTCATGGAATTTTTTTCAGTCCCTAAAAGGTCTGTTGATACCCGCTTTAGTCATTAAAGAACGTTTGATGCCCTACGCTTTCATTTTGTGCTCGATCCTTCGCTTTTTTGCTGATTTTTTTCAGCCCCGTCTAGTAATCAAAATGCTAATCATATATCCTTTCCTTTTTTATATGCTATAAAAAGATATTGATTTTTCATCCCGCATAATAGATTGTCACCCCGCGATCGATTCTGCCTAAACAAACACCCCCCTACTACTTCAACACCTGTTCGCTTCGAAACGGCTTGTCAAAGCCCAAGTCTCCTCGTCTCCTTTCTCTTTTTCTTCTTGCTTTTTTCCACCCGCTTAACTCCCGCAGCTACACGGTTAATCTCCCGTAGCACTCACAGTGCTTTAAGTTGTTCTGGAATGCTGTAATCCCTCTCATATTTAATGACTCCGGATTCGTCTCGGGGAAAAAGTCCAGTTGATTGGTGTCCAAGGCAACCGGCAAGCAACACATGTCCTGTGTTTATTGGGCTAACAGTTCCAGTGTGGTTCTCTTGCGGTGAGGTCTCCTGATATTCCAGATTGTTTCTGTAATATTCTCGACCATTTTTGAGAGATTTTTGCTCGTTTTTGATCACGAATATGAAGAAAACAGGCCCAAATAATTCTAAACGGGTTAAATTTCGGTAGAATCAGCTATAATAAAATTTAATTCGTTTATTTT